GGATTTTATGTGATTTTACTGTAAAGCACTTTTGGTCGTCTTGACTGTTGTAGGTTTGTGTAAGCCCTCAGTCGCACAGGGATTAGTCAAAGCAAAGGAAGGTTTCTCACCATCATCTGTACTTCTGCAGGTTTTCCCGACGTTTCGTCCTCAATCCAAAGGACTTCTTCAGGGAATGAATTCTCAGACCGCGCGTTGGAGATTTCTAACCTATTCCTGATACTAACTCATAAACAATCTAAGGTCTGTTTGATGTAGAAGGGAGCAGGTCTAACGACCCTGCTGAGGCTAACGACTCTAACTCATTAGCATGTACATCACAGCAGCAGAAGCAGCCATTAGAAACATCAAACTAACTGAGAGTGAGGCGGGGGCCCTCAGACTGAGAGTCTCTGCAACACTCAAAAGTGCGAAGCCCCCACAATCCAATGTCTCATTAGATGAGCCAAAAGCATTAATGGCATTACAAAAGGATGAGAGTATAACTATTTTACCAGCTGACAAAGGCAGATGCACAGTTATCCTCAACAGCTCAGACTATGAGGCCAAAGTTAATCAGTTACTCTTGGACACCAACACGTACCAGCCATTGAAGAGGGACCCTACCAGTGGGTTTAGGAAAAAGATTATAGACTTCCTTCAGAGCTTAGTGAAAGAGGGCATTATTGAAAAACCACTATATTACAAACTTTACCCAGGAGACACCATTCCCAGTATTTATGGCCTCCCAAAAATACACAAACAAAACTTTCCACTTCGGCCTATTGTATGTAGCATAGACTCTATCACCTACAACCTGGCTAAACACCTCAAAACCATTCTGGCTCCTTTGGTGGGTAACACCCACCATCACATAGAAAACACTAAAGAATTTGTGAATAAAATCAAACACCTCCAGTTTGACACAGATGAGACAATGGTCTCGTTTGATGTGACATCGCTTTTTACGTCGGTCCCTATTACAGAGGCGGTGCAGGCTGTAAGAGAAAGCCTACAGAAAGACGCCACACTAGGGGAGAGAACGAAACTAACAGCTGACCACATCTGTGAAATACTTGAAATGTGTCTTAACACCACGTATTTCCAATTTAGAGGCACCTTCTTTAGACAGATTCATGGCTGTGCGATGGGCTCCCCAGTCTCTCCTATAGTGGCCAATCTGTATATGGAGAAACTGGAGGAACAAGCCCTGGGCTCTTACCAAGGGACAGCGCCAAGCCATTGGTTTGATATGTAGACGATACATGGGTTAAGTTAAAGAAACAGGAAGTGGAACCATTTTCAGAACACATTAATTCGGTTCTACAAATTTCACTCGCGAGGATGCTAAGGAGAGTGAACTCGCCTTTCTAGATTGTAAGGTCATCATACTGGAGAACGGACAATTAGAGACTGAGGTCTTCAGAAAGTCCACTCACACTGACCAGTACCTGGCCTTTGATTCAAATCATCCGCTACAACACAAACTCGGTGTCATTAGAACGCTTCAACACCGAGCCCACCAGGTCCCCACAAGCTCGGAGGGAAAGAACAGAGAAACCAAACATGTTCAGAGAGCACTTTCCAGATGTGGCTACCCCAAGTGGTCTTTTACTAAAGCCCAAAGGACGAGAAAGGCCAGAGACACAGTCCAACAGACAGAAGAAAGTAGGAGGAGAGGGGTGTCCTTACCGTATGTGGCGGGAGTTTCAGAGAAACTACAAAGAATCTTTAGGCAACACAAAATCCCTGTGTATTTCAAACCTTTCAACACGTTAAGACAGAAAGTATTGCATCCCAAAGACAAAACACCCAGACACAAACAGAGCAATGTGGTGTATTCAATTAAATGTAGTGAAGAGGAGTGCACTGACCACTATATTGGAGAAACCAAACAAACTCTACAGAAACGACTTTACCAACATCGTAGAGAAAACAAAAACCTTCTCTTAACAGAGGAGGAGGGTTAAGATTTGTTTTGCCTCGCATCTATGACGACATCCTAAAAACAACGCCCTAACTTGGGACAAGGTCAGTGACATGCTAATGAGTTAGAGTCGTTAGCCTCAGCAGGGTCGTTAGACCTGCTCCCTTCTACATCAAGCAGACCTGAGATTGTTTATGAGTTAGTATCAGGATTAGGGTGTGGCTAACCACACCCATAGGTTATAAATCTCCAACGCGCGGTCTGAGAATTCATTCCCTGAAGAAGTCCGCTGGTTTGAGGACGAAACGTTGGGAAAACTTGCAGAAGTACAGATGATGGTGAGAAACCTTCCTTTGCCTTGACTGTTGTACTGTAATTACACCATCAACACACCATCAACACACACATGGAGGTCACTGCGCAGACCATCAAGCTTTACAAAAACGCATGGTACATCAGGCGCTACTATTTAACTCTGGTCTCTCTGGTCTCTCTTGTGGTCTCTCTCTCTCTGGTCTCTCTCTCTCTGGTCTCTCTCGCTCTGGTCTCTCTTGTGGTCTCTCTCTCTCTGGTCTCTCTCGCTCTGGTCTCTCGCTGGTCTCTTTCTGCTCTCTCTCTGGTCTCTTTCACTGATCTCTCTTTCTGGTCTTATCTGGTCTCTTTCTGGTCTTACAGCCTTAATATATAAAGTTTTCCATCCTCCATCCATCCATCTTCTTCCCATTAATCCATTTCTGGGTCGGGGGGGTGGCAGTCAGAGCTGTACCCAGTTCACAGAGCACCAGCCCCTCACTGATCCTCCTGCAGGTGCTGAGTCCACAGGAGCTGAGATCTTTCAGTTGGGGCTTCAGGCAAAGTAGGGTTAAGTGTCTTGCCCAAGGACACAACGACAGCAGTCATCAGTGGGAGTCGTGAAGTAGGTCTTGAGGTGGGCTCGAACCCACGACCTTCAGGTCAAACTGAGCCACTGTTGCCCTGATATAAAGTTATCTCCTGCGATAAACCAGGGACCACAAACCAGATTATCAGATAACCAGGTGTGGTGACCAGGTGTGATGACCAGGTGTGATGACCAGGTGTGGTAACCAGGTGTGATAACCAGGTGCGGTGACCAGGTGTGGTGACCATGTGTGATAACCAGGTGTGATGACCAGGTGTGATGACCAGGTGTGGTGACCAGGTGTGGTGACCAGGTGTGATGACCAGGTGTGATGACCAGGTGTGGTGACCAGGTGTGATGACCAGGTGTGGTGACCAGGTGTGGTGACCAGGTGTGATGACCAGGTGTGGTGACCAGGTGTGGTGACCAGGTGTGATGACCAGGTGTGATGACCAGGTGAGATGACCAGGTGAGATGACCAGGTGTGATGACCAGGTGTGGTGACCAGGTGTGATGACCAGGTGTGGTGACCAGGTGTGGTGACCAGGTGTGATGACCAGGTGTGGTGACCAGGTGTGGTGACCAGGTGTGATGACCAGGTGTGATGACCAGGTGAGATGACCAGGTGTGATGACCAGGTGTGCTGACCAGGGGTGATAACCAGGTGCGGTGACCAGGTATGGTGACCAGGTGTGATGACCAGGTGTGATGACCAGGTGAGATGACCAGGTGAGATGACCAGGTGTGGTGACCAGGTGTGGTGACCAGGTGTGATGACCAGGTGTGGTGACCAGGTGTGGTGACCAGGTGTGGTGACCAGGTGTGATGACCAGGTGTGATGACCAGGTGAGATGACCAGGTGAGATGACCAGGTGTGGTGACCAGGTGTGGTGACCAGGTGTGATGACCAGGTGTGGTGACCAGGTGTGGTGACCAGGTGTGATGACCAGGTGTGGTGACCAGGTGTGGTGACCAGGTATGGTGACCAAGTGTGATGACCACGTGTGATGACCAGGTGTGATGACCAGATGTGATGACCAGATGTGTGTTTCAGGCTTGAGTTCGATGCGTACCGTTCGGACCTGGAGGAGCTGAGTTTGGGACCACGAGACGCCGCCTCGATGGTGCGGATTGAGACGGCGCAGCACGAGTACCAGCGATACAGGGACAAGTACGAGCGGCTGCGGAGCGATGTCACCATCAAACTCAAGTTCCTGGAAGAGAACAAGGTTTCTGTCAACTTTGATCAATCCATCGATCGATCGATCGATAAATCAAAGATACATAGATATGAACATGATTTTTAAAAGGGTATAAATACAACACACACAAACACAATCACACTTACACACACCCACAGACTCAGACACACACACACACACCCACAGACTCAGACACACACACACACACACACACAGAATCAGACACACACACACACACCCACACACTCAGACAGACACACACACCCACAGACTCAGACACACACACACCCACACACTCAGACACACACACACACACCCACAGACTCAGACACACACACACCCACACACTCAGACACACACACACACACACACACACACACACACAGACTCAGACACACACACTCAGACTCAGGCCAAAACACTCTCTGACCCTGCATCTCTCTCCCTCTCTTCAGTGGGAGACGCTCCTCACATAGACCTTTGTAAAGTGGTTCTAACACTGTTTCCTCTGAGTCTGGGATGATGATGGTGGTTATGGTGATGATGGTGATGATGATGGTGATGATGATGGTGATGATGATGATGATGATGGTGATGATGATGGTGATGATGATGATGATGATGGTGATGATGATGGTGATGATGATGATGATGATGGTGATGATGATGATGATGATGGTGATGATGGTGATGATGATGGTGATGATGATGGTGATGATGATGATGATGATGGTGATGATGATGGTGATGATGATGATGATGATGGTGATGATGATGGTGATGATGATGATGATGATGGTGATGATGATGGTGATGATGATGATGATGATGGTGATGATGATGGTGATGATGATGATGATGATGGTGATGATGATGATGGTGATGATGGTGATGATGATGGTGATGATGATGGTGATGATGATGATGATGATGATGGTGATGATGATGGTGATGATGATGATGATGATGGTGATGATGATGGTGATGATGATGATGATGATGGTGATGATGA